TATATTATAAAAAATAAAATCTTATTATTAGTTTAAATTATTATTTTTTTTTTGCCTCTAATTAGATTGCAATTCATTGTGTTTATTAATTTTTTATAAAAATAAACAATAATATATTGAACCCTAAGGCTTTATACTAGAGCTAAACTGTGTATATTGCAGAACATCCATTAATAAGTTATTTTTAAATTTGTATATAATTCTTGAATTCTTAATATCAAAACCACATATCTTCCATATGATTTAGCTATTTACTAACTATTTCATTACAAGAGAGTTGATTCATTAAGCTATTACTGTATGATATTAACTATTTTAGACTTTCCAAATCTTAACACTCTAAGCATGATCATGAGAAATAATAAAATTACTTTTTTTCCAAGACTGCTTCTTAGCCTTAAGAAAAATTATAGCCAGCCTACATTCAGGCTGTTACTCTTATATGAATCTGTAATCCTAAGAGATATAAAAAATTTTTATTTTTAAGAAAAAAAAGTGAGTAAAAAGGATAGATGAAAAGTTTATTCTGGTAAATAAAAACTCTCCAATATTAACCTCAGTCCATTAGGATAAATCCTTTATTACCACTTGTAGCCAGGCAAACTATTTAATTTCTATCATTCTATTGTTAACCAAGAATATTCAAGATACTTATTACAAGATTGGCATACTGCTTGAAACAAGACTTACATCCATTGGGATTTATTGTATAAGACAAGTTTTACACTATTGCTTGCTACATTTTCAGGATAATCAATGACAGAAGAAACTTCTTATTGGATTAAAATAAGATTTTTTTTAATTTTGAAGAAAAAAGAAACCAGTCCAAAAAAGGAGAGGGAACACTATAATACTTTTTAACAAAAATGACATCTCATCACCTTGCTCTTTTCTCTATATTAAATTGCATCATTGGATTTTCTGTTGTATGAGATAGGGTATGTAGGAGTTATGTGTCTTATTTATATTTCTTGCTACATGTAGATTGACTAGTTCAAAATTCGAACCAATCACCATTCAAGGATTCTGATGTAATTAAAAATTCAGGGTCAAACTAAGGTAGGCAAAATTCCTTAGAAAAACCAAAAAAAAGTTTACATACTTAAAAAAATAGAAAGAAAGTTTAAGGAAGATGAAAGAAAAGTTCCAGAAACCTACAGTATGTTAGTTTTTTCTAGAGTCTTGAATCTCTAAAGAAAGAGAGAAGAGTGTTTTTTCTACAGATTCTTTTTTATAACAAAGTTTTCTTGCCTTTAACTTTGTGGATAGATATTTCTTATATTTACTTGCAGAAATACAAAAAGTTTATGTCAAAGTAAGAAAGAAACAAGTACGAAAGACTATAGTCTTTTGATATGAGTGTTGTTAATGAAAGTGTATAGACTTTATTACAAATAAATATAAAAATTTCCTTGGAATGTCTGTTTTTGGTGTTGGCAAAGAGATCAGTGGAAAGAGTTCCTAGTTTAAATTATTTATTTATATAATTCTATTATTATTATATTTATTATAAAAAGAATAATTCAATTAATTCAATTATTTATTATTATCAATTTTCAAAATATATTACTTATATAAAATAATATTATAAGTAAAAATATAGGCACAATAAAATAACACATTATTGTATTACATAATTAATAAATTACAATGGAAAAAGCTAAAGATAAATAAGATATGGAAAATTTTAATGGTAAAAATTTCTAAAGTAATATAAAATAGCAATTTAAAATAAACATATAAACAATAAATATAATATTAATCTTAACAATGAATCTGTTGTTAATTTAAACTAGAACTTATACTACATTAAAAGAAATAGATTTGTATTATTAGCAATATCAAAAATATATATAGTGATAATTATTTTAATCTTTTCTTCTATATTGGTTAGTCTCCTGTTTTAATTCTCTTTATCAAATTAAAGGATCTTGAATTCTCTCTAGAATAATTAAAAGACAAATAAGGAAAGTTTATTAATTATTATTATACTATTACAAACACTTGGATTTTGCAAATAGATATTTTATTAATTGACTTGTATTTCTTTGCTTATTCTAGATATATTGGATATTTATACTACTGTGACATATTTTTTTAATTTATTATTTCATTATGCAAATTAAACAAATTTTTTCAAACTTTGTACCTTTCAATTATATATGATTGATATTTTATATTGTACTGTATCAGATTTTTACATGTTATATTATGACCTCTATTATGATTTTTATATCAACAGTATATATAAATACAAGTACTATTCAGTAGTATGTAGACAAATTAGATAAAAGTTTAATTTAGAATCAATAATATATTAAATAATAATTAATAAGATAATATTTAGCAAATAAACTCTTATCTTGTATTTAGTATATCAAAATAGATTTGTAATTTGGGCTACATAACTACAAGAAAAAATTGAAACTTGCTTAAAGAAATTGACATTGGAAAAGTTCTAGGCTAGTCAGTAAAAAAATTAAAATAAGAAGACTGACCAAATTGAAAATACATTTCAAAAGTTAAAAACTTACTTTATTGTAAACTGAAACAATAATAAGTAATGTGAGCTTGCTAGAGAACTCATGATAATAATAATAATATTATTATTATAGTGGTATCTATCTATTTGCATAAAGTTGAAACTATAGTAAAATTTTTATAAAAATACTGTATGTATTTAAACAGATTATATTGTTGTTATTACTAGCGAATCTGTCGTTAAAACAGTTTACTCTTCATGTAATAATAATCCAAACATTTGGATTTTGGCACTAAATAAGGTAAGGCTTTAACTCTAAGGCAGATTACAATTTGATCAACTTTTGTATACTGGCTAATCCTTTTTTGACTGTCTTTTCCTAGGTGTGTTTCAAAATTACAAGTGTTACTCTCTTATAGTGCATAACAGTAAAGTTGTATCTCTTTTTCTTAAAGGTTATTTTACTATAATGACATAGACTTAGTTTATACTTCAAGGAATATGTAATATAATTGTACAAAGTTGTGGTATTTATTAAATAAAGTAAGAGAATATAATGATTATTCTAAAACTCTCAACTCAAAGTTCCAAGCTAAACTCTAATTTGGAACTCTGACTGTTTCCTTCAAACTACTTAAAACTATTCTATTTATATGTCTTGTGAATACATCTATCTCATTACATGCTATTACCAATTATTATATCATTTTACTATACATGTTACTATTATTATATGATGTGCCACAATATCACGTTACCATCCCTATTGTTTCTACAACAATGTACATATACATCAGATTTTTATAAGAGTTCTATAAGTTGGGACTGGGCAAGAAATACATTTTTATGTTTTTTACATAAAATCTGCAAATAAACAAGTGTCACTGTATTTGTGATATTAATATTCTTACTTGAATTTTGATTTTGATAATATAGATATAATTTTTTTAAAAAAATTAAGATTTTTAACTTTGTAAACTACAATTAATTTATTATGAAAAGGTTATTAAAGTAATTATAATAAATGTTTTGTTTAAAAAATGAAAAATACTTCTCAAGTTCAAAAAAACTTTAAAAAAATGATTTTTTTTTCAAATTATAATCTAATTGTATCAGTATACTTTTATTTAAAATAGTGTAAACAATTAAATTTTAATTTATTTAAAAATATTTTGATTAATTAATATAATACTCTTATTAAACTGATATTATTCAAATAAAGGATTAATTTTTTAAAGAAAACTTAATATGGCATATTTCAAAAAAATTTTCAAATAAAATATTTTAAGTACAATTTTTTTACAAAATATTTACAGTATATTGTATATACTTAGGATTTTTATTTTCAATAGTACGACATCAAGATTTTATTTTAATACCAATTTTTGATCATAATACGAGTTTAAGGAAATCCAAAACTCACAACAAACCAATCAACCTTGCAAAAATAACAAAAATAATATAAACACTGTCCATTTCGATTTTTGTGATATATCATTTCATCTATATGTTCCTAATAATCCAATGTATTATAGATTTATTTAATAACCGAGAAAAATATTCAAAGTAGCTATTGTATATCAAAAATTGAATTTTCAATAATAATATTTATAGCAAACAAATAATTTATTTAATATATTGTAGGAAGAACCATTTTTATTCCTTTATTTTTGTATCTCGCATAAAACATGCCAAATAAAGGATATTCGCTTATTAATAAAATTTTCTTAATTCACCTAAAGCTTCAATTCATGCCTACTTTCTGCCTTACACCTTTTCCCGAACGTTGCGCAATTTACGCGATCGTGAAACCCAAACAATATAACTTAATAAAATTCATTCAAATAATTTTTTGAATACAGACCGTAATCAATCATAATTTTCCTTCTTACTGGACGGGTAATCGAAAATACAATCTATACTATAATAAGAAAAAACCATTAAATTACTTGATCGCAAAAAATAAATGACTGTTTTCAAAAAAATTAGATCAAATGACGAATTTAAAATTATGTAACGTGCCACAAAGTGCAAGGTTAAAAACACAACATCTTGCCAAGAAGTTTATAACCAAAGGATACATGGCAAATATGCAACGGTTTTCACTGAATGAATGGGTTACACCCAACTTAATTGTTTACACAGCATTTCGCAAAAAGTTATACTCAAAATTTACCGATTTTCAGCCTTGAATTTGAAATAATTGCCTGAATGTTTGGTCAACAAATACTATGTTAAGTAATGCTAGAAGTGCGGGGATTTCAATTAAAAATTTGAAGACAACGCCTGGCCATAAAACATATGAGATTAATTTATAAGAAAAAAAACAAACCTGTTCTCACAGAAAACTTAATTAAACGCAAATGTTATAAACAAATCAGTATGTGTGCATCTCTTCGAAAATTTAATTGATTATTTTTTAGTATAAATATAGAGGTCTTTCTGAGCGGTGAAATCAGTGCAGAATAACCACGTACTGTAGTTATAAAGACAATTGTTACTAGTAATCCTACTCACAATGATTATCCCCAAATTAGCAACCATTGTTTCCTTGTTATGCCTCGTATCAACTTCATATGCTATTCCCCAAAAGAAAGAGAAAGATTTTAAACACGTTCTTCTCATTTCAATTGATGGTCTCCATCAAGTAGATGTCGACGTTTTTACCAAAGCCAATCCTGAATCTACTATTGCAAAGCTTCTTAAAAACGGTGTATACTTCAAAAAGGCTCGAACATCCTTACCATCAGATTCCTTCCCTGGTCTCTTGGCTCAACTGACAGGTGGTTCACCGGCAACCACTGGGGTTTGGTATGACGATGCATGGTGAGTAAAAAATATTTACGCCTAAAAATAAATAAATAAATAAATAAAAAATAATAAAATCCCGACTAGAAGTTAATCCGTTTTTATTATTACTTTTTAGGGACGGTACATATTTCGCCCCTGGATCAAAGTGCAATGGGACAGCTGGTTATAACACTGTTTGGGATGAATCACTTGACATGGATCCCAAGGCGGTGGTTACGACTCTCAACGAAACCGCCCTTCCATTGAGAAAATTCAAGGGGAAATGCGAGAAAGTTCAACCTTATCAATTTCTTAGAGTCAACACCATCTTTGAAGTCGCCAAAAAACACGGTCTTGTGACAGCTTGGTCTGACAAATTGCCTGCCTACTCAATTGTTAGAGGCCCATCCGGAAAGGGTGTTGACGATTTATTTGTCCCCGAAATTAATGGGGTCAATAAAACCGATACCAAAGCAGTTGAAGGTTATGATACCCTCCATATCAATGCCGTACTAAATTGGATTAATGGATTAAAAGCAGACGGCTCATCTTTCTCGGTTCCAGCCATCTTCGGTGCTAATTTCCAATCCATCAGTGTAACTCAAAAGGCTATCGGCGCGGGTTACAAGGATGCTGCTGCCACCCCTTCGGATGCTCTTGTGGGGGCCTTCAAATTTGTCGATGATGCTCTTAAAAAATTCGTGGACGCTTTGAAGAAAAAGGATTTGGAAAATAGCACAATAATAATCCTTTCCGCAAAACATGGTCAATCTCCTATCGATATAACTAAATTAAAGAAAATTTCTGCGAAATTGTTATCGGCTCAAGTTGGTGACGATAAGATTAATCAGTTGACAACCGATGATGTTGCCTTATTCTGGTTAAAAGATCACAAGGATTCAAAAGAAGCCGCAGAAAAACTTCGTGCAAATGCCACTACTCTCGGTATCACAACAGTTTATGAAGGCAGCAGCCTCAAAGAACAATTTGGCTGTGAACCTACCAAGGATACAAGATGTCCCGACATTGCCATCAAAACCAATGTCGGTGTTATCTACACTACTTCTGCAACCAAGATTGCCGAGCATGGTGGATTCAACGAAGACGACATCCACGTCCCAATAATTGTTTCCAATCCTTCAATTTCAGCCAAAGTTGATTCCAGCTCTGTCGACACCCGTTCTATTGCGCCATTCATTCTTTCTGTCTTTGGAATCAATCCACACGAATTGGAAGCCGTTGTCAAGGAAAAGACAGAGACTCTTCCAGTATTTTAGATCAATTATTAGTTTTTTTTTATATTAATTCTGGTTCATTGTATTGAATGTAATATTAGATAATGCAATTATTTATTAATCACACGAATATATAGTCTATCCTCATGAATTCCTCGAAGATAAATTATTAATAATCATAATTTCTTTCATCTCCCATAGACATCATGGTTTTATAGTAGCCTTGGCATACAATTTTTTAGAATGTATATTCATAAATGTTATCACAATGTGTATTATGAAATTTATTAATGATCTCAAGATTTGTGAAAGGAAGCAAATGAATTATTTATTATTTGTTGTAAAATGACCTATGCAACTAATTGTTAAATAAACTTACGATAAAGACGTTCAAGTGGGTTGACATGTCATATTAACAGAGCAAATAACCTGTTGCATGATGCCACGATATTTTAATTAATTATACTGTAATACGGTACATGTAATGATATAATTTACTCACTCTAGATGCGATACCTATTTACTACCCGATTTCGAGTGACATTCCTCTTCAATTAAATAATAATCATCGATGTTTATTTATTATATGGCGATAGAGGTACGTAATGCGAGGTGTAAAGGGGAAAATTCGACGCGACGATTCTGAGTACCGAGAAATGGCATACATAACAAAAATATTAATTTGTTTCGACTATTTTGTTTATCCTATTAGTTTGTTTATCTCACTATAATATAAATAAAGACCCGAGAAGCAAGTAGTTAGTATATTGTAGTTTGTTATGACGTACAGTATTAAATTTGTTTTTTAACCCCCAGATTAACGATTGACGACGACAATATTGTATATGCTAATCAGTTTGTTCATTTACGAGTCATTAAAAAGCCTCATTATTAATCGGTAAATTATAGAGCACACGATGTCATCACCTAATTAGGTTATAATTGGGGTTTGAGGGATTTTTAGGATTTTTGGAATTTTTGGAATTTTTGTCATTTTTATATATGTATAAAAGAAAGAGAATTGTACTGAGAGAAAACAATAATAAACTATTTTTTTATCAATACTTAACTCATTATCTAACACTTTCACTTACCTCGTGCCACATACACGATCGGCGATCGCGACGACGTAACGACTGACTCGCCGATTACTGTACGCCCCCAACAACATGTAATTCTGTACTTGTTAACTTATGTCCAGAGTTACTTATTTTCTTCTGCTAAATAACTTTTTTTTTATTGCATAAGCATATAACCGTCTATATATACCTCCTTTTTTACCATCACATTACAGTATGCGCGAAATATTGTTACATTCGTGAAGATTTTTTTAATTTTATAAGTTTCATGTCAAAACATACTGCCATAATTACGGGGGATTTTTTTTTAAAACTCAAATTCATTTCAAGTTTCTGTTACCATCAATCCAATTTTATTTTCATTCTTTTGTGAATATATTGTACATGTTAGCAATGTTAAATATAGATACTATTTATTAAATTATAATTTATGGCTTTATAAAAATTTTTTTTTAAAAAATGAAATTAATCGTATGATTTATTAAAATAATCGTATTTAAAATATTTTTAATTGAATTTCGATATTGGTTAATAACCGTTATTTTTTTTCATTAATAATTATTTAAATTTAAAATACGAGTGATTAAAAAATTTTTATAATTTCGAACCATACAATAGTTCTGAACAATATTTATTGACAAAATATATATTAATATAATTTGATCGTACTAATTATTTCAAAAACAATTTTTTATATAATATAAAACGAACGAACAAATATTACAGACGCATCCTTTTGATATATACAATAATACGATACAGTACGGGGAATTGTTATGTTCAGAAACTGTGATTTTGCTTATGTACATTATTTGAAAATTTCAAAGAACATAACTTGATTTGGTTTATATACACTATTAAAATTATATAATTCATGCCTAAAATACCTAAAACGGTTATTATAATAACGATATTGTAACAGGAAAAGTAAAAAAAAAAAAAAAATTAATATTGATATACGGTACGGTACTTTATACAGTACAGTATGAACGTTCTTTTATACAAACTCACCGTCTAGGAACACTGATCGAGCATGTCACTTAAAGGTCGACTTTTGTTAAATGCACCGGAATGGATATTACTAATCGCCAACCTTTGTGCAGATAATTTTGATTCAATTTCGCCTTTTCGAAGTTTTTCTGCACGCCTAAATTGACTTGGGTCATCTTTTCCCTGACACCATTTTTCAAATTGTAGCTTAACTTCTTTTATTTTTGGTCTGTCGGATGGATTTGAATTCCAACATCTTTTCATTAAGTTAGAAAACACCTCAGGAGTATCATTAGTAACCTTTGGTCTTAATCCCCAAATGATTCTGTTCACGAGTTCTACATTATGACTTCGATATAGGAAAGGTCGATACCCGGTTGTAAATTCCCACATGAGTACTCCAAAGCTATAAACATCAGAGGCTTGGGTATGGGTAGCTCCTTTAAGGATTTCCGGCGCCACATAAGGTAATATTCCATACGCGGTAACGCCACTAGAATTTGTGATGGGTTTCCCATACAGTCCTAAATCTCCGATTTTGACCGACTCCGTACCGTTTACTCCTATTAAAATATTCTCGGAATGCAAGTCGCCATGCACCAATCTACCACTATGGATTTTTTCGAGGCTACGTGATTTAAAGATAAATTAATATTTATAAAACGTGCACTGTACCAAGAATTTCCAATTAACTTCATACCCGGCTGCAACACAACACAATTTTTCGATCTTTTTTTGCCACGTGATATTTTCAAAGTTTTCTAATAGATACTGATACAAACTCCCATTTTCGGCATATTCCATTACTATAATCGAATCTTTTGTGTCTGGATCTTCCGTAACTCCATGATATTGCACTATGGATTCTTCTGAATTTACGATTTTAAAAGACTTCAACTATTTTTTAAAAATCACGATTAATAACAATATCAATATTTTGCAAAGGTTAAGTGTAAATATAAAATATTTACCGTACCTCTTTTGCAAATTTCTTACATTTATTTCTTGAGTCGTTTAAGTACTTGAGAGCTACTTTTTTGGTTTCTTTCGAAGTTCTTATCCAAACAGCCTTATACAATCTTCCCGATTCACTATCTGCTAAATATTCAATATCCTTAAGTTTCGTGTACGAGATTATGTTCAATCCATTGGTATTGGAAAAATTTTGATCACGTATTGTCAACATTCTATAAGTGGTTTTGTGCGATTTGTTTTCAAAATTATCCTCGGGTTCTATTTCTAACAATTCGTTTAAATCAAAGTATGCTTCGTCACTTCTATTCAGTGCTCGAAGTGTGTCTCCACGACTTTTTAATGCCAAAGCATCATCAGGAATTCTTTCAAGTAATCTGTCGAAATCAGAAAGTGCCTCGTCATGTTTGCCCAACATTCTATAGGTTAAACCACGATTACAAAGTGCAAAAGCATCCGTTGAATCTCTTTCTAGTAATCTATTGAGGTCAGAAAGTGCCTCGTCATATTTGCCTAACAACGCATAGATTGCTCCTCGGTTCTTTAATGAAATGAAGTTGTCGGATTCTATTTCTAGTGATTTGTTAAAGTCTAAAAGTGCTTCGTCGTATTTTCCCAACATTCTGTAAGTTATTCCACGTGAATTCAATGCAAAAATACTATTTGACTTTCTCTTTAGAGATTTTTCGAAATCCAATAGTGCTTCATTGTATTTACCAAGCGTCACGTAAGCCGCGCCACGTGAATTTAATGCAAAAACTTCATCCGGTTCCATTTCCAGCACTTTATTTAAATCCATAAACATTTCATCATATTTACCCAAAATTCTATAGGTTTCTCCACGATTCTTTAACGCAAATGAATCATTCGAATTTATCTGCAATGACCTCTCTAAATCCAAAAGTGCTTCCTTGTGCTTATTCATGATCCTATAAATAGCACCTCGACATTTTAATGAGAAGGCGTCATCCGGTGTAACGTTGAGGAATCTATTGAAATCTAAAAGCGCTTCATTATTATTTCCCAGCATCATATAAATTTCTCCACGGTTCTTTAATGCAAAAGGGTCATCCAGTTCTATTTCTAGCAACCTGTTGAAATCCGAAAGGGCTTCATTATGTTTGCCTAACATCTTGTATGTTAAACCTCGATTTCTCAGTGCATAAACATCATTCGATGCTATTTTTAACGATTTGTTGAAATCGTAAAGCGCTTCATTATACCTATTCATTATTCTATAGATTTCACCTCGTGAATTTAATACTTCGGCATCAACTGGTTTTATTTCTAATGATATGCTAAAATCGGAAAGTGCCTCAACGTATCGATTTAACATTCTGTAAGTTTCACCACGCAGTTTTAACACGGAACAATCATCAGGCTCTATTTCCAATGATTTGGTCAAATCAGAGAGCGCCTCATTATATCTGCCCAATATTTTAAAAATCTGTCCTCGACTCTTTCGTAAAGAAGCATCATTTGGATTTGCATTCAACGATCGATCGAAATCACAAAGTGATTCCTGGAATTTGCCCAACATTCGGTAAATTTCTCCGCGCGATTTTAATGCAAAAGGATCATTTGGGTCTTTTTTCAGCAATAAGTTTAAATCCGAAAGTGCCTCATCATATTTTTGCAATAGTCTATATGTTTCTCCACGGTTTCTTAGTGCAAAAGTATCATCTGGTTTAATTTCTAATGATTTGTTAAGATCTGCGAGAGCTTCATTGTATCTACCCAATACTCTGTATGTTTCTCCACGCGAATTTAATGCAAAAGTATCATTCTTTTTAATTTCAAGTGATCTATCAAGGTCCATAAGTGCTTTCCTATATTTTCCCAACATCCTGTAGATTTCCCCGCGTATTTTTAACCCTAAAGCATCATTGGGTTCTATTTCTAGCGATTTATCAAGATCGAAAACAGCCTTATTGTATTGCCTCAACATTCTGTAAACTTCTCCACGTGATCTTAATGAAAACGCGTCACCCGACTCTATTTCCAATGATTTGTCGAAGTCGGAAAGCGCCTCATCGTACCTACCCATCATTCTGTAAGTCTCACCACGATTCTTCAATGCGAAGGAATCGACGGTCTCGATTCTTAGCGATGCATTCAAATCCAAGAGAGCCTCGTTATATCTAAACATCATTCTGTATATTGCACCACGATTCCTCAATGAAAAGGTGTCATTCGGTTCTATCTCCAGCGACCTATTAAAATCCAGAAGTGCTTCTTCGCGTTTTCCTAAAATTATGTAAATTTCTCCACGTTTTCTGTATAAAAGGGCATCCTCAGGATTTCTATCTAATAATTTACTAAAATCATAAACGGCCTCGTCATACTTTTCCAAACTTTTGTATGTTTCCCCGCGTGATTTTAGCGCAAAATTATCATCGGGATTTATTTCCAATGATCTATTTAAGTCCGACAGAGCTTTACTATACTCGTGTAACATTCTGTAAATTTCACCACGATTCTTTAGTGCAAAAGCATTATCTGATTTTATGCTCAACGCTCGATTGAAGTCTATGAGGGCTTTATCATGTTTACCCAACTCTCTGTATATTTCTCCTCGATCACCTAACGCAAAGGCATCATACGGTTTGATACCCAATAGTTTATTTAAATCTAGAAGTGCTTTGTCATGTTTACCTAAAACTTTGTAAAGTTCTGAGCGACCTTTTAATGCAAATGTGTTGTCCGGTTCCATCCCCAGCGATTTATTTAAGTCTGCAAGTGACTCATCATATCTTTCCAGCACTTTGTAGGTCACACCGCGATTCCACAATGAAAATACGTTAACCGGATTTATTTTCAGGGAATGATTGAAATCTGAAAGTGCATTATCATATTCGCCCATCATTCTATACGTCGAACCACGCTTCGATAATGTAACGTCATTCGGCTTTCTTTCGAGTAATCGATCAAAGTCCGAAAGCGCTTTACCATATTCGTTTAGCATTAAATACACTTCTCCACGATTCATCAAAGCGATAATATTATCCGGCTCGATTTCCAAAGATTTGTTGAGATCAGAAAGTGCTTCCCTATATCTGTTTATTATCCCATAGGTTTTCCCACGAACTCTTAATACAAAAGCATCACGTTTCTCTATTTTCAATGATCTGTCAAAATCAGAAAGCGCCTTATCATATTTCCTCAACATTCTGTATATCTCTCCACGATTCTTCAATGCAAAGGCGGATCCTGACTGAATCTCCAACGAATTGTTAAAATCCGAAAGTGCATCGTTGTACTTTCCCATCATCCTATACGCTAGTCCTCGGCTCCATAACAAGAACTTGTTGTCAGGATTCCTCATCAATGATCTGTTTAATGTCAAAAACAAATTGTTATATGCGTAAGCGTTTCCACGACTTTTCGACGCAAAAACATTGTCTGATAGTATTTCCAATAATTTATTGAGATCTGAAAATGCTTTGTTATAGCTCCCTAGCATTACATATGCTAGACCACGATTGAGTAATACAAAAGGATCGTCGGGACACTTTTCTAGCGACTTGCTAAAATCCGAAAGCGCTTTTTTATATTTCCCAAATTTCATATATAACCCTCCACGTTCCTTTAACACCGTAGGATTACCCGGTTCTATCGCTAGCGACTTATTGAGATCCGCAAGTGCCTCCTTATATTTATCCAACATTTTATGAGTTATTCCTCGATTTATCAATGAAAAGTGATTGTTTTGTTCTATCTTTAAGGATTTGTTAAAGTCCGAAAGTGCTTTGTCATATTCACCCAGTACTATGTAAATATCTCCACGATTTCCTAACGATATTGCGTTATCTGGTTCTATTTCCAATGATTTATTGAAATCCATGAGCGCCTCATTATACTTGTCCAAAATCTTGTATACCGTTCCCCTACTTCTTAGTGCAAAAGCATCATCTTTCTCGATTCTCAAAGAGTTGTTAAAATCCGAAAGGGCTTTATCATATTCACCCAACATTTTGTAGACATCTCCTCGGTTGCTCAATATCGAGGCATCGTCTGGCTTGATTTCCAACAACTTGTTAAAATCATTAAGAGCTTCTTTGAAATTTTTGGTCATTCTGTTGGCTTCTCCGCGTGATTTTAATGCAAAAGGGTCGTTTGGCTTTACTTTTAATAGCTTGTTCAAGTCTAAAAATGCCTCTTTATATTTGCTCTGTAGTAAATAAGTTGCTCCACGATTTCTCAAGGCAAAAACATCATCCGGTTTTATTTTTAACGAGCAGTTGAAATCTTTCAAAGCTTCATTATATTTTCCTAATATTCGATACGTTTCTCCACGTGACTTTAACGCAAAGTCATCGTCGGATTTTAGCTTCAATGATTTGTTGAGATCAAAGAGTGCGTCCTCGTGCTTGTTCAACATCCTGTAAGTGGCTCCACGCGCATTTAGTGCAAAACCGTCATCCGCCTTTATTTCCAGTGACCTGTTTAAGTCCGAAAGTGCATTATTGTATTTACCCAACATCCTGTAAATTTCACCCCGATTTCTCAATGCAAAAACCGCATTCGGCTTTATTATCAATGATTTATTTAAGTCTGATAACGCCTCATTATATTTTCCCAAGATTCTATAAATTTCTCCACGGTTTCTTAATGCAAAAGCATTGTTCTGTTCCATCTCTATCGATCTACTCAGATCATCAAGTGCCTCGTTATATTTGCCTAATACCCTGTAAGTCGCTCCACGATTCTTTAAGGCAAAAGCATCATCCGGCCTTATTTTCAGTGACATGTTGAGATCCAAGAGAGCCCTGTCGTGTTTATTCAACATTCGGTAGATGGCTCCTCGCGAGTTTAGCGCAAAACCATCATCTGATTTTATTGTTAACGATCTATTCAGATCAGAAAGCGCATCATCATATCTACCTAAAACTCGATATATTTCTCCACGGTTCCTTAATGCAAAAACTGTATTCGGTTTTACTTCTAACGATCTATTTAAATCGGAAAGGGCATTTCGATATTTTCCTAAAATCCTGTAAGTTTCACCTCGGTTTCTTAACGCAAAGGCATCCTCTGGATCTATATCTAGTGACCTGTTTAAGTCTGAAAGCGCTTCATGATATCTTCCTAGAATTCTGTAAGTTGCTCCACGACCCTTTAACGCGGAAGCATTATTAGGATCTATTTCCAGGGACCTGTTGAAATCCGAGAGGGCCTCATCGTACTTATTCAATATCCTGTAAATCTCCCCACGATCACTCAACGCGGAAGCATTGTCGGGTTCTATTTTGAGCAATTTGTTAAGATCGGAAAGTTTTTCATCGTAGTTACCCGACATCACCTAAACGTAATATTGTTGTGACTTATATTATATATTTTAAAGAAGAAACCGTTCATTGAAATATCGTTAATTATTGTAATATGAATTTTTTATTGAATGGAACGGTGGATTTTTTGACATCTGTTTTTTTTTTTGTCTCTAGTCTTTTCCGATGCACAAAATCAATGCGTAACCATAATAACGAACAACATGACCGATTCAATGTTTCACCCGGAGGAGTTTACGTAAATTCATCGTATCTGCTTATGTCCGTATCCGTGTCACGGTTAACTTTGGACAGGTTTTAGATCGTTTTATTTGTTCCACAACGTTCCAAGTTTGGTCAGTTGAGTATTGATAAATCGTAAATTGGTGATTGTTTACAAGGAGAAACTATGGTCATCGGGTATTCTGTCAAATTTTGGCACCCAAACTCGTTAGAGCGAAAAACCTACACGTACACTACTGTAACCAATAAAGGTTCAAGTAAGGAAATTACAATGAATGGTGATTAAATAATTAATATTGATTAAATTGACGGATACGTAAAGGGGGAATGATTGTCATTTGTATGTGGCTTGAAAATTAAATTTTAATTTCGAGAAAATTATATTTTATCAAAAAATTTTTCTTTAAAAATATGATTTTGTTATCCTAAATAAATTACAAATGTTACTCCAGAGCCCCTTTATACCGCTGGTATCTTTCATTCCAGCCTAAAAACCTTGTTGGATGTTTTTTTTCTAAAATTTTGATCATCTTTTTGCCATAGAAATCGCTTTCAAGACATTTTTTACCCCTGCTGTTTCTATCCCTAGGCATTCCTTAAGGTGTGCAATAATGATGTGATGCGTTACCACTACATACAGTATATGCCTCTTACCCTAAAAAGCATTATCTTCGTTTGATTTATACAAGCCCTTTTATTTTGGTTTGCTGTTGCTTGCGCAGCAAAATCAATAAAAAAAGGAAGGACAAATGCTTTAAGTTATTATAAACATCCCAAATTTTTTTATAATCTTTTAATTACGAATTTGGCATATTTTATGACATCATCGCAAAGTTTATCCAGTGCAAGATTAAATTTTTTAAAAAAATTTGTAAATTCAAGAATAAAATTCTTTTATTAAAGATTTTTAGACATAGATTTTGCCATTGATAATTGACATTGTAAGGGACAGGAAAAAATACATTGAATAAAATGTGTATAAAATATTCCGGTCATCTGAATTGGGTAAAAGTACAATAATAAAAAAGACACTACTTAATGAACATTGTTTTTTTTCTTAAAGAAAAATTTTATGTAACTGCTTATTATGAAGAAAGAAGATATTATTACAAATATAATGGACGAAAACTTTGGACTACGAAATATTTGTCTCCCGTACGCATAGATACGTCCACAAATCAAATATAACTATTTTTTTTTAATTCTATAAATTAACCTAATATACATATCTAGCAAGCTCCACAGCAATTTGCTTAAAAAGTTTAGTATTCAAAGCTCGAAAACCGTCAATAAACGCATATTCCTCAGGATGATCGCAAACAACACTATCTTTTCCCGCATATCCATAGTCAGGTATGCAAGGTTTATCAGTAACAGTGATACCCAACGCTTTCAATATCTCGGGTTCAAACAGTTGACGGACTAGTTCATCTATGTCTTTGACAACATACAATTTAACTTCGGAGTGCTTCTCTTGAAATTCGTCAAGGAACTTCAAGAGGAGTTCATTATGAAGTGAAATTTTACTCTTTATCAGATCAAATGTTTCAGGGGGTAAACTGTTAAGTCCAGGGACACGATCAATCGGCGGTACAGGTACAATTAGAATATGCTTGGCATCACCGGTAACATGAAGCTCTTTAATGGAATTGCCAATTCGGTTCACAACTTCCGCAGCATCAACTTGTCCAAGAGTAGCGACATAGTCACCGCAAAGCGACGCGACCTACAATGTGATTTACTGTACGTTGTCAATTTGTCCCTTTATGCAATACAACAACATAAAAAATCAAAGAAGAATAACGTTACCACAAATAGTGTTTTTTTAACATCGATTTTTTCACTTTCTTTCTCAAAAAATAGATTTACTTGTTGAAAGACCCCGGGAACGCTTACGTTCTTTGGGCCCGCAAATGTTTGCACCAGCGTGTTGCTATTATTAAACAATTACGTTTTAATTGCTGCGATAGTGACAAATATAAAAATTACAAATTATTGTGCATACTCGGATGAAGCGCTTCCATAAGCGTAATCGTATAGGCAAAGATCGTGTTCTTCCACAAAATATTCTACCCAATTTTTTCCGTCAGAATATCGTCCTTCGAAATAAGGTGGCGAGGGCGGGTATTCGTAATTTGTTAACTTGTATGTGTTTCCGGTGTCTGCACGTATGCAAGTTTGGTTAGATCGCATTTTGAATTATCCAATGATGTAGGACATGCATTATGAAATTTTACCGCATAGCTCATCTCCAAAGACGACTAAATTTTCAAACTTTTTGTCGGCTGATGTTGTTATAGTAAGAGCGAGAAGCATAAATGCTCCGAGAATAGATCTTGATTTCATGATTTTAATGTTAATCAATATAATTTCTTAAGAAAAGGACACAACTGTTCGTTATGAAAAAAGTGAAAATATTTTCTGTTGTATCGATAGAATCAAACTTTGAATTTATATTTTTGTGGTGTGTATGTAATTTTGGATATTGATAAACGCAAAAAAGTATTGACATGTTTATAAGAACGATACTGTGGAAATATTTCCGTATTTGTTGTCATATAAGAAAAAACGTATCCTTACTTGTCTGCAGAAAAAAGTCGATTATTCAAACCTTGTTTGCATACATTCGGTTGCGCAATCTATTTCAACGTCTGCATGAATGAATGCTCACAAAATCTAGGATGCGACGTTCCCTCATCGATCCTTGCACATCACAATTCTCGCATGTTGTAATGAATTCATTTTTATTAAGAAATATTTTGCTTCTATTGTTATGGAATAAGAAATACTTTCACAGTGAATCTTGGCGTTTATCCATATCTCTAATAAATTATTACAGGAATACATAACCAAATTAAAGTAACTCATTTCATAATATGGTTAATACGTTATTAGGATTTTTATTTTATCCTAATATGCAGTAACCAATAAACGTTGGCATTTATAAACATTATGCAGTATTTTAAATTTAAAACAAAAATCAGTTTACGCATACCATTCAATCTCCTTGCATGGATAATTTATTTTTTAATATAAAAACAGGAATTTTAGCAAACATACCGTATTAAAAAATTAAGAAATCCTGTGTATTTTTTACTTTAACAAATAATCTTTGTCTAATTCTACCTATTCTTATTTTTAAAATATCTTTATTATTTTATTTTTAAATAATGTGAACATTGATTTTTTGATTTTTGATTTTAAATAAAATTTTTTTACAATTCATATATATTATCAAGTGTAATCAGAGTAAAAGCTTATGATATTTTATTGATTTTATAAATTTTGATTTCAAGTTTATTTGTAATATAATTTGATCATTTGAAAATATATAATATTAAATATTCATTTTTTAAATTATAATTTATTACCATAATTTTCCATCTTTGTGATACATATTTTTATGATAAATTTTAATACTTATAAAATAAACAATTTATTTAAATAATTTATAAATTATCAATTTAAATACTCATTTACTTTTATTTTTATATTATAACTATATTTTTTTTCTATTCTGGATCTTGTATATATTGTAATTTAAGCAATAAATCTAAAATTAGTATATAATATATTAATTAATATTTTATTAAAATTTCAAATATTATTTAATTTATTTATAGTACCAATATATATCAATGATTTTGTTTTACTATAATATTTTTTTAAATTTTTAATTTCATTTTTTGCCATTTTCTATAATATAATAATAAATATAAATATAAATAAATTAGTTTATTTAAATTAAAAAATTTGAAAAAATTAATTTATTTTTTCTAAATATTATATCAAATCACAAAAAAATTTTAACTTATTTAATAAAATATTATAAAATATTATTGAATATAAAAGTACTAAATATTTATCTCTAAATATTTGTTTTGTTGCTCTTGTAAAATCCTAAATTAAATTTATTAATTTATTAATAAATAATAATGATAATTATAAAAATTTTAAATTTGTTATTTATTTTAATGATTTTTTGATTTCTTCTAAATATATCCATTCATTTTTATTAATTATAAAATCATAAAGATTGAAATTACTATTATTCAATATATTTAATAGCTAAAATAATAAAATTTATTATTTATATTAAACAAAACAATATAAATTAACTTACTTCTTTTAATTTACAAACTCTAGTTAGCATATTATATATTAAATTTTATTTGGTTTTAATATCTAATATAACCATTTTATTGGATATTTTAGCTACTTAACATTAAGTAAAAAATTTTTTTCATTGTTATAGTGATACTCTAATTTTAAAACCAAGTTTACAAAACTAAAAATAAATTATTTCATTAATAATTACAATTTATATTAATTATTTAAATACAAATGATATTAAACTAACTTTAAATAAAAGGTTTACAATTATATTGTTATTGCCTTATAATATATTATTATTGTATTATAATATATTGCTATTATCTTGATTAACTTTATTTTTAGCATTTAATATTTGTAATATTTTTATATAACAAAATTAATAATATGTGTAAGACATTGTATATATTAATTGTCTACATTAAGTTCAATATTATTTTTTTAATGTTTTTTCAATAATTCAAAAAAAAGTTATATTTTTATTTATATTGTCAGTTATTACATTAAAAATCTGGTTAATAAAACTAATTAATAAATTTGTTTATTTATTTATTATAAATATAAAATATAACTTACTTTATTTAAAAAATTATATTTGATAAGGCTTTTTAAAAAAATATTATTAATATTATTGCATAAATATAATTTTTTAAGTCTTATAAAATCCAAAAGTAAATTTTTTAGTTTTCAATTCTTACAAATCCAATGTGCTATAATTCTCAAAAAAATAAATTGTTGATAAAGTTTAGATATTAATAGTAAAAGAACTTTTACTTGATATTTGCTATAAAAAATATAAATATAAATATTTTTTTATTAAATATAAATTTTTAATATAATATATTTATTTGTAAAAATAGTTGCATATTTTTTTTATTTTTATTAAAAGATATTATTATATGAATTTTTAAATATATCTGCTAAAAAAATTAGAACTTTACTTTATAAAATAGATATTATATTTTTAAAATCAATACTTGTAAACATTAACTATAATTTATTTTATAAATAATTATTAAAAATATTCTGCACTATATGTTTAAAAATAAATTAATATTTTTTTAATTTTAAATTTAAAAAAATATTAAATATAACTTATTGAAATTAAAATATTTTATATTATTTGTTCTAATATTAAATGTTAATTGTTTTCTTGAGTTTTTACAAAATATTTATTTTTAAATATTTGGTCATACTAGTAATACTGTTACTGTCTTTATTTAATTAAATTATTGTTTTATAATAATTATATTATAGTTTTTATATAATTTTATTAAAAGTAAAGTGATTAATAAAATTATTAGATAATGTAAGAGTTTTAATGTATTGTAATAGTTTAAACAATGAGTTATATTCAAGTCAAAAATAAATTACGAGTTTAGAAAAAATAATTATTTTATTAACTCAAAAACAAAAATACAATCTAAGTTGCTACAAAGATAAAAAGATCTCTTTAAATAATTATTCTTCATTACATAAATAATCTATAAAAATACATAAATAGAAATACATATTATTAATATATAAGTCCTTATTGGTTCTCCCAAAAGGTCTTATATACTGTTACACTTGATTTTCATCTAAGATCATCATTACTTCTTATCCGATTTTCATTAGCATTTATCCTTAAAATACTACATATTTTAGAATAATTCTTGTATTACATTTCTTGTTATTGTTTAGCACTGTGTTTTTCATACTATTGTTGCTCTAGAATATTTCCTATTTTATTTATTTATCTTTATTCTTGTATCTTCACCAGAGTATTTTTTATATACTAATATATACAGATAACTATTCTGACAAATATAACATTTCTTTTATATCTCTATTATTTTTTATAACCCATATTTATTATATACGAAAATAATATAACCCAAACATATATATAAAGGCTCCAATTTTGCCTAGGAATTGGTAGGCTTGAACTTATATTTTTGTTGAATAAATAACTTGACCTTTACAAAACAAATTATTATTGCCTCTTTCGCTTGACCTCATATATCTCAGAATTGTATTAATTTGTATACCTCTAGGAACTTTAGCATATCACATTGGTCCTGTCTATCTAAAGTGCCTCCCTATTACTAGTTCTCTGTCTTTATCTTTCTTTTGAGGTAAAAACAATATATAACAGTACCATAAATGTAAAATAAAAGAAAAATAATAATATAATAAATGTTATGCATGCTTAATAATAATGTCCTGTTTCCCAAATAAGTATAAAGAGAATAAACATAATAATAATAATTAATAATATTCCAGAAAGTTCCATGATATTCCGGGGTGTTCCACAATATTCCAAGAAGTTCTAAGATGTTTTATAGTATTCTGGAGTATTCCAGAGTATCCTAGGGGTTTTCAGTTATACAGCATATGAAACAGTAAAAGTGGAAAAATTGTTACAGATAAATTAATTAATAGTTAATATTGAAGGTGTTTGATTGTAAAGATTTGTTTGAAAAAAATTTAAGTTAGAAAGTTTTATTGATTCATTATATATTTACTAACTTCTATAGAGTTGCCATATTAAAAAAGAACTAAGTAACAAATAGAATATTTATATATATTTGTATTATAGTTAATTGATTGCTATTTTTTTTGAAAAAAAAGAAATAATAGATAATAAATTATTTTCAAAAGGAAATAGTAAAATAATTTTGTTTTTTTCTTAGAAGAAAAAAGAAATTCTTGAAAGTACTTGTGAAAATATTAATTAAGTTAAACTTTTTTCATTTTACTAACAGTATTATAGATATAGATGAAATAGAAGTTTTTAGTTCTTAAATTATAAACTATAAGTTTAATTATAAAAATTATATTTTTTTTAATGAAAGTTTTTTTAAAGATAATGGTTTTGGTATCTTTAATAGTACTGACTTTAAAAATTTCTTTTATGTTTTTTTTTTTTTTAATGATAAAAATTTGTTTGGAATAGTTAATAAAAATAAATATAAAAAAAGTCCTTATATAGTTAGTTTTATAAATTGCATTTGTTTTTAAGTTAGGATAATAAATTTATAGTTTTGGATTTTTGTTATTATAAATAGTTGTATGAAAAAATTGTTTTTAGTTTAAGAAAGTTGTAGGTTCCATTATAAAAGGAGTTAATTTGTAAAGTATACTTAAAAATACTTGGAAAAAAACAAAAAGACTTATTAAAGTTATTATTATAAAGAAAATTCTTGTCAAGAAATTAATTTACAAGAAAAGTTTTTTTTTAATTTAAAGTT